GGTGATTGTGAAATGCTCAGGGAGATTAGAGAAGCTACAAAAACAGAAAAACAAATAAAAATGGGGGATTTCAACTCTCCTCATACTGACTGGGTACATGTCACCTCAGGACGGGAAGCAGAGATAAAATGTCTAGACACCATTAATGACCGCTCCTTAGAGCAGCTAGTCGTGTAATCCACAAGGGGAGGGGCAATTCTCAATTTAGTCCTAAGTGGTACATAGGATCTGGTCCAAAAGGTGACTGTAGCTGAACTGCTTGACAATAGCAACAGTAACTAAATTAAATTTAACATCCTTCTGGGGGGTAAAATACCAAAGAAACCCACCACAGTAGCATTTAACTGCAAAAAGAGAAACAACATAAAAATGAGGCGGTTAGTTAAAATGAAATTAAAAGGAACCATCACAGGAGTGAAATGCCTGCAAGCTGCATGCAAACTTTTTTAAAACTATATGTTTTTAGAGGCAAAAACTATATGTATACCCCTAATTAAAAAAAAAACAGTAAGAAGACCAAAAATGCCACCATGGCTATATAGCAGAGTGAAAGAGGCAGTTAGAGACAAAAAGACATCCTTTAAAAATTGGAAGTTGAATCCCACTGAGGAAAAGAGAATAGACTCTGGCAAGTCAAGTGTAAACGTATAATTAGACAGGCCAAAAAAGAATTTGAAGAACAGCTAGCACACGACAAAAACTAGCAGCAAAAAAATGTTTAAGTACATCAGAACATGAAGCCTGCCAAACAATCAGTGGACAATCAAGGTGCTAAAGGAGCACTCAAGGAAGACCAGGCTATTGTAGAGAAGCTAAATGAATTATTTATATCAGTCTTCACTGCAGAGGGTTGGGGAGATTCTCACACATGACCCATTCTTTTTAGGTGACAAATCTGAGGAACTCTCCCAGATTGAGGTGTCATTAGAGAAGGTGTAATGCCAACAGATCCAGCTTAGCGGCAGGTGGGATTGAACCTGCGACCACTGGAGCTAAAGACATGAGCCTCTACCGCATGAGCTAAAAGTCATCTGGCTCTTAGCTCAGGCTGCAGAGCAGACTCCTTAATCTCTAAGTAGTCTCGGTGCCACTAGATGGGACATAATGCCACACACAGGAGGTGTGTGGGTTAGAGGTTTTGGAACAAATTGATAAATCAAACAGTAATAAGTTACCAGGACCAGATGGTATTCATCCAAGAGTTCTGAAGGAACTTAAATACAAAACTGCAGAACTACTAACCGTTGTATGTAACCTATAGCTTAAATCAGCCTCTGTACAAGATTACTGGCAGATAGCCAATGTGAGGCCAATTTTAAAAGGGCTCCAAAGGCAGCCCTGGCAATTACAGCCTGTTAAGCCTAGCTTCAGTACTGGGAAAATTGGTTGAAACTATAGTAAAGAACAGAATTATCAGATACATAGATGAACGTAATATGTTGGGGAAGAGTGACACAGCTTTTTACAAAGGAAATCATGCCTCATCAATCTATTAAAATTCTTTGAGGGGGTCAACAAACATGTGGACAAGGGTGATCCAGTGGATATAGTGTACTTGGACATTCAGAAAGCCTTTGACAAGGTCTCTCACCAAAAGCTCTTAAGCAAAGTAAGCAGTCATGGGATAAAAGGGAAGGTCCTCTCATGGATCAGTAACTGGTTAAAAGATAGGAAACAAAGGGTAGGAATAAACAGTCAGTTTTCATAGTGGAGAGAGGTGAATAGCGCGGTTCCCCGAGGATCTGTATTGTGCTGTTCAACATGTTCATAAATGATCTGGAAAAAGGAGTAAACAACGAGGTAGCAAAGTTTCAAGATGATACAAAATTACTCAAAATAGTTAAGTTCAAAGCTGACTGCAAAGAGTTACAAAAGGCATCTCACAAAACTGGGTGACTGGACAAGAAAATGCAGATGAAATTCAATGTTGAAAAATGCAAAGTAATCCACATTGGAAAACATAATCCCAATTATATATATAAAATGATGGGGTCTAAATTAGCTGTTACCACTTGAGAAAGAGATCTGGGTAGGGTGACCAGACATCCCGATATTATCGGGACAGTCCCGATTTTAGGGGACTTGTCCCGCGTCCCGACCTTACATTGGTCGGGATGTCTGGTCACGCTGTATGAGGGAGACCGCGGCAAGCAGGCACCGCCGGCGCCACTCACCTTCCCTCCCTGGGCCCTGGGGCAGCGCGCAGCTGAGCTCCCGGCGCGGCGGAGCCAGCCCACGGGGCCCCCCGCCTGGCCGGCAGGAGCCTACAGAGCACAGCCCTGCCCCTGCCCCGGCACACAGAGAGGCAGCGAGGAGGTCTCACTCCCCTGCGTGCTACAGGAGGGCGGGGCCTGTAGACTCCAGCAGCAGGCAGCGGTCGCCGGGCAGAGAGCCCCCTTCCCCTCGACCCAACCCTAGGAAGGGGCCAGAGGGACTGGGAGGGACCTGCCTGCTGGCTGCTTCCTGGGAGCCGCTCCAGGTAAGCACTGCTGGGCTCAGCTGGCCCCCTGGCAG